TTATTTTTTTATAGAAGGAGTTTTACTGGGCTTACAGTTCCAGCTTAAGAGTCCATTATGGTACCCTACAGCCTGAGAAACTCCAGTTTTCCTGACCCCACATCTTGTTCTCCTTCCAACCTTGGGCACAGGCCCAAGATCTCTGGACTACTCTCTTAGCTTAGCATGGTGGTGAGCTCTCCAAATTGCTTGGTGCCCATCCCCATCCCTCTACATTGGGACCATCTGCAGCCCTTTTCACTGCTGCAGGGCTAGGCCTTTTAGTAGGGACCCAGAACTTTCCAGACTTCCTGAAAGTACCCCAATTCAGCCTCTGCCTAGCAAGCTTCTCAAATAATGCTGTGCCTACTGGCCAGAGGGGCCTAGACCTGAGGAAGAAGCCTGAGAGCATATGATTCTCAACTGACTTGGGCCTCCTGAGGAACTCCTGAGTAGCTGGAGTAGAGCCATCCGTTCCTCCAATATAAAATCTAAAGAGAGAAGGAACCTGAAGCCTAGACTGACCAGCTTTTCATGCCCCATAAGAAAACAGCAAAGGCACCCATGGAAACTCAAGCAGACAGAAACCCAACATCGAATTGGGGAAATAGACATCAGACCCCAATCTTAGCTGAATATTGGCAACTCATTACTGCTGGATGAGGAAGAGCTGATCTTCCTAAAGTGAGGGACTCTAGATAGGCTAATGAGCCTGAAGTGAGACCATGTCCACACCATGGCAAGTCTGCCAGAGATGATGAAGGCAGACAAGAATACCACCCTTTCATATGGTTTAGCAGATGCAACCCAGAAATATACATTTCAGCTTAAGCAGTCCTCAAGTAAGAGGACTTAATTGTACCATTTCTTAAACAGAGTTCATCCCCAATTCCACCAATCATTGGGGTGATTGCTATGCTGGCTAACCAGATCTGTCTTCTATGTTTGTGAGGGGGTTTGTTTTGCAACTGGAGTGACTCCTACCTGATACTAATTTCTGATGTCCACAGGCATGAGGATAGGTGTGCTGTCTATTTTGATGTGTGTAGTTGAGAAATGGCCTCAGGTGCTTGAGAAAGAAATTTTTGTGTCAGAAAGGTTCTTAAAATATTTATATCCATTTCAAAGACATGGACAACAGAGCTGTCATCTGTAAGGTACTACTAGAAGGGAAGTGAAAACATTGTTTCTTTTGTTTTGAACAGGGAAGCTGTTCATTTTAATTTTGAATTGTCTTTATAGCTATGCATATTTAATATTTCTTTGTTTTTCTTTTTACAGTGTTGTGTTTGGCTCCTAGGGCCTCATACATGCCAGAGAGCACTCAGCCATGAGCTCCTCTCATCTGTCTTCTATTCAAATTTTGTACAAAAAAACAGTGGAAATGTTTTCTAGATGAAACGATTTGCATTCTTTAACGAATTAATTTATTCTTAGTGTTTAAAGAAAAAACCTTTCCTGTTTCCATGTGGAATTATATTTCAAGAAATAAAGAATTTACATAGGTTTTTAACATTATTTAATATCAATGACTAAACCAGATTATACTGAAGAATGTTGTTAGAATGGATGTTCTCTGACCCTTCAAATGAAATTACCTTTAAAGTCTTTTACGTCTAATATAATAGTGTGATCTTGGATGACCCTGATTTAAACCACTTTACCTAAGCCTTTGAAAAACCTCTATCATACTTTCAGCAATCCTGTGTGATCCAAGAACCTTTCCTATATGACCTGCCAAAGGCACTGGCTCTCAGCCCTCTATGTGAACAAACCTTACTTGGAGAGCTAAAACCTGGTTGCTGAACCTGTTTCTAAGAATTTCCATCCAGTAGGCCTGGCACAGAGCCCAAAATTTTGCCTTTTCAGTAAGTTCTTAGATGCTGCTGCTATTGCTGCTATTTGGGGCCTCATTTGAGAACTACTGACCTAGGACATCTGGCAGGCCTCAGCTACAGGGAGAATTTCTGGAACTGGACCTGGAGATCTTTATATGAACCAGAGCCCAGGTGACAGTTGGGAAATCACCATTTGAGAACGATTGGAACAAGGTGTCAGATTAATCTGACTCTCCCTGAACAATGAATCAGATGCCATACATCCGATATATAAGCATTTAAATAATGGCAATAATTAAACCGAAGCCTGTGGTGACAAAAGAACACAAGGCTTCAGACAGAACACTAGTTCTGGTACCCGCCATCTGAGTGACACAGGTCAAGTTATCCAAACCCTCCTATCTTTTGTCTCCTCACCTGTGACAGGAGCTGATGCTCACTTTAAGAAGATTAATAGTGTTGTACCCAAGTATGTTGACAAACTATTGTGCTTGGAATTAAGCAGGTCTTCAAAAAAATTTGCTATTAGTTGTTAGAAGTAATATAAGAAATTATTTTCTTTAGTGTGCAATTTGATCCAAGTAGGTTTTAAACAAAATAGTTACATCCCAAAATGAGAGAATAATAATGAAACTTACATTCCCGATGATCTACCATGGGCTAGCTAGTGTTCTCAGAGGCATATGAATTAGCTCAATCCCAACATAAATCCTGTGTGGAGGTGGTGTTATCTCCTCCGCTTTAAAGACAAAGAAATGGATGCTAACGAGCTCAAGCAAGCTTTTGACCACAAGTTAACTTTTTGTGTGTAAATTATAGGTTTTGTTGTTTCATGATGTTGAGAGAGAGATAGATCTAAGGGAGATCACTAAAATGAATATCCTTCCTCATACTGTCAGTGTTGTCACAAGTTTGGAAACTGTGATTCATTCAATAAGTTAAAATGAGCAGTATGATAACATCTGAGAATTTGGCAGTAGGAACTTCAAAGATCACCATAAAGAATTTAGCTAAATCCAAGAAGTGTAATTTTAATTTTTTCCAGAAACTTTAGAGAATCTCTGAAATATAACTATATGCTTTTGGATGGGGTTCAGAAGACCCCCTTGAACTGTATTCTATTCTGTTATAAGCATTACCTGGGAAAATATCACCTTTAAGTAGAGTAGAAATCAATAAGCTCCAAGTTATCACACAAAAATGAAATATTTGCCTTTTGTTTTTATTGGATTTGTTAAAATGAAAACCTACTTAAATGACTCAAATAGAAAACTTTGTGTGGCTAGATGAAAAGTTAGTATTTACATGCCTAAGAAAACAACAAAATTCTTTATAGTCTTGGTGTATTCATTAAAAAAATCACCAACTCCCCATCATTTGTATTAATTAGAGCAAAGGCTTATAGTTATTTTCATTTGTGTTCATTTTCAAGAAACAACATGAATTAAGCACAGAATATCAAAATTCATAGCCATGTACTTACTTCCTAACTTAAACATGAAGTGTTATGATAGGATGATGTCAGTTCACAGAAGCCTACTGTACCTTTTAAAAAGAACTAGATGAGAAGGGAGCTTGGAGGCTGAAAACCTGAAGGGATAGGAAGGAGGTGGCCAGTGCTCAGCATCCGGAGTTCAATCATAGCAGGATAACACACAAGGAAACACCACACTACATGCCACAAACACCCAAAGCTCTAAGTATTAGTTAAAAAGAAAAACAGTGAAAAATAACATTAAATACTGAAAAAAAATATATATAGAGCCATTTCATGTGTGGCAGAAAATAAGCATTTAGGTTAGATTGTCCTGAGTCTCACCTTCTAGCCTCTGATGCATTGTCATATTCTTTCTCTCTCTCTCTCTCTCCTCTCTCTCTGTTTCTTTGTCTCTCTTTCCCTCATCATAAAGTTCATCACATTCACATCTTGTGCAACAGATGTCTAGAACGTTTTCATCTTGCAATTCTAAAATTTGCAGTTCTGAAATTTGCTGCCATAAGCAAAAGTTCATTTTGTCTGTCTTACCACCATTTTACCTTTCGTTTTTTTTTTTTTTTTTTTTTTGTTTTTAAAAATTTTTTTTTTTTTTTTTTTTCTTCAAGAACAACCAGTGTTCTTAACCGCTGAGCCATCGCTCCAGCCCAAGCTTTGTTTGTTTGTTTTTTTTCTGTCTTTTTGAAGCAGGGTCTCCTTGTAGCCCCAGCTGTCCTGGAACTCACTATGTAGACCAGGCTGGCCTTGAACTCACAGAGATCCACCTGCCTCTGCCTCCCAAGTGCTAGGACTACAGGTGTGCACCACCGAGCCTGGCTTTTATCTATTAGTTTGATTGCTTTAGCTAACTCCTGTAATTAGAATTGTATAGCAGTTGCCTTATTGTGAATGGTTTATTTCACTTAGCATAATTCCCCCCTCCAAGTTCATCTATATTGTGGTACATGACACAGATCACTTCCTTTTTAAGGCTAAGTAGTATTCCATTTAGAACATATTTATCTGTCATGGAAACCTGGGTTACTTCCACATCTTCACTGTTGTAAATTGTGCAATTGTGAGTATAAATGTGCCAATGCCACTTTGAACTTCAGCTTTACGTGCCCAAAAGCAGAACTCCTGGATCATGGCACAATTTTTTGAGAAACTTTTGTTTCTGTAGCTATTGAAGTTTTGTCTTTTGTTTCAGATTTATTTTAGTATGTTTAAGCACGGAACATTTTTCAGCATTTTAAATGAGTTTTTGTTAAAATCCTGCATTCAAACTACTTTGCTGGTATAACTAAGGGCTCCCATCGACACCAAAAAGGAAGAATTGTAAACTGGTTTAAACAAGTCAAGAAAGACACAGATAAGTTCCTACCTCTCAGAATGATGATGTAGAAAGAATCACAATTCCATCTATATTTTTCTGTGTCATTGTGTGGTCAAAGTCACACAACAAACCTCTGAGGAATTAAAAGTGTAAGCATCAGACACCACCACTAACACAAGACACATCGTGGGATTTGCTTCTCGGTCACTCGGTCACTTGCAGCTAACAATGGGCAAATTTGAGAGAAAATATTTTTAAGTGCAAGGCGTTAGCAACAGATCACAGGAATTCAGTTGACATTATTAATTATGGTTAAAGATTGAACATGAATTACAACCAAGTGAATGACCTAGTCAGGGCCTACAATGATTTCCTAATGTGACTTTATTGGTGGATTTGAGAACAGGCAGTCTTGTAATTCTGGAAGAAATTCTGCCCTTGATAAATGGTGACAAACTTTGATTAGATGAAAATGCTGAGTACAGGGAGGGACACCCCAGTCCCAGGGAGCAATTTGCAAGCATTGCCCCAGGGTCACGTCTTCTGAGAAGGAAAAAGGAAAACCCGCCTTAGCATTGATCAGGTGGACTGCTCTCTTCAAGGCTCCTTTGCTCAGATCCTAGCCTGCCCCTCCACCCATACAGCCCTGCTTTACAAAGGGCAGAAATCTTCTCCCAAAATAAATGGGTTTTCCGGGGTCATAGTTTGTCAGGAGCCATCTCAGATTCTCCACTATGACATACGTGTCATCATCCGCTTTCATGAACCAGTCTGCATCTTCTAGGTGGTGGTCATGAACACACAAAAAGGCTCTTACTGTTTTCCAGGACAGACTCCTGCTCTCTTCCGTGTTTAATCCCACAGCAGGGAGGCTTTCTTTCTTTCTTTTTTTTTTTTCTGAGCTCATAAACAGCACTTTGTTACAGTGCTGGGTCCATGTGGCTCTGAGGTATTGGGCTCTCGTCTCTAGATTTTGAGGTCCTGTCCTTATCCAACAAGGAATCTTCACCTTCTGGTAGAGTTTTCCAACCATGTCCTCATTCTTGTGACCAACGTCCATTTTCAACATTAACAGTCTTATCCAACATTTTTCTTTGGTATCATTTATACATCCTGAAGATGCTTAAGCCTGGATAGGGGAGTGCCACCCTGTTCTTCCAACACAACTCTAAGTAGCTGACAACATAAAAGAAACCTGATGACTGATCCACAGAGGAAGGCTAAGGGATGCCTGCAAAGGCCTGAAGCCATTTCTGTTGATTGAGACAGCTGCCTGTTGCTCCTCTTAGGGGGATCAAGGAGATGGCCACGGGAGGTCAGGGACCTCTTGCCTGCCTGCAGCCTTGCACACCGGTGTGCAGGAGAGCACAGGTGTGGAGGTGTGCGAGTGCAAGCAAGGCTTAGGCAGTGCTTGCAGCAGTGGTGGCTGAGGACCAAGTCTGCCTTCACACCTCCCTCCTGGTGCTTCACTCCACACCTTGTTTTAATGGGCTGCTGTGTGCACCCATGTGTGTGAGGCTCAGTGTCTTGTCATGTGAACCGGTACTAAATGTCCATTGCCAATACTGCTCTGGAGCAACTGGGAGAACAATGAAGTTTATTATCTGGTGGATCAGAGTCTCTGAGGGCAGTTTTGTGGATTATTAAATGGAGTATAGGCTCAAAGCACACATGACAATTTGAAAGTGGAGGTTTCCAAAGAAACTTCAAAAAAGGTTTCTGATAAAAATGAATATTACAGTGGCTTTTAATAACATTAGAAATATGTAAATTAACTTTCATTTTCAATTTTATGTTCAGGAAAAGTTGTTAAAGGCTTAATAAAGACATTTCTGTGTGGAAGCAGATTATCTGTAACTGATTTTTTTTTTTTTATTATGACTTGGGTTGTATTAAGTCTCTGAAATCATCACTAAATCTTAAGCTATTTAAATGCGTGAACTAGGTTGATTATAAGGGTGGGAGGAGGGTAATTCAAGTTAGAGACCTAAAGTCTGCCTGCCACAGAGACCCAGCTGGGCGTCACTGTGTTCTATTAAGGAGACAAAGCAAGAAGTTCACCTTTTCCAAAGGCAATACAAGAAAGGAGGGCGGCCTCCATATACGACAGCGCCAAATACAGGCAAATATGTAAAGAACTAGCTCTGCAAACAGATGAACCAGCCAGCACCTCTTTCTTCTTGTTCAATTTAGGTTTCATCATGGTGTCTCCTTACATGTGCCGTTCTGTTCTCACTGGCCCCCTCTCCCAGTGCCCTCCTCTCTGCCTTTTACCCCTCCACCTGGTTTTCTTTCCTCCCCCAGTGAGTCCCCTCTTCTGCCTTCCTATTATGTGCATTTCAAATGACTCTCCATTTCCCACCTCTCTTAAAACCTCCTCCTTGCTTCTCAAGATTCCTTTCTAGTTTGGTGACTTACCCACACACATGTATAAATGTACACACAGAGATATACAATTTTAGATCAAGATGCTGCAATGTAAAGGAAAACATGGTAGCTGTCTTTCTGAGTCTGGCTTCTTTTCATGCACAGTGATTTCTAGCTGCAACCATTTCCCTGCAAATATCATGACTTGATTTTTCTTCATGGCTGCATAAAATTCTATTGTGTGTATGTACTACATTTTCTTCATCTGCCCATCTGTTGATGGACATCTAGCCTGGCTCTGTTTCCTGGCAGTTGTGAATAATGCAGCAGTGGACATGGATGGACCAGTATCTCTGTGGTGTGCTGATTTGGAGTCCTTCAGTTCCGTCCCTAAGAGTGGTGGAGCTGGGCCATATGACTGCTCTGTTTTCAGGTTTTTGAGCAACCTCTGAACTGATTTCCATAGTGGCGTACAAGTTTGCCTTCCTCCCAGCAGGGAATAAGGTTTTCCTCTCCACCACATCCTCACCAGCATTTGTTGTCATTTGTTTTCTTGATGATATCCACTCTGACTAGGGTGAGATGGAATCCTAAAGCTGTTTTCATCTGCATTTCCATGATCAGCCATCAGGTTTTAATCAGCTGTTCTATAACCAGCCTGTTTGGTAATGTGAATGATGGAGAATAAAGGCCTTGCAGTTCATATCAATTTATACTTTTATTTTAATTTAAAAAGTTTTAAATAATGTTTATATGTTCAGCCGGCATGTCTGTAAGTACACCATGTGTGTGCAGTGCCTGTGGAGGCCAGAAGACAGGCTGAAAGCCCTAGAACTAGAGTTACAGTTGTTAGATGTGTGCTAGAAACTGATCCCCAGGTCCTCTGGAGAAGCAGCAAGTGCTCTTAATCACTGAGCCATCTCTCGAGCCCCTCATTTCAATTTTTAACACACTTTTATTGGAGGGGAAACTCCAAAATTTTATTTAGAAAAAAGGCAAAATTGGTAAGTAAAGTCAAAATGTAACAGTCAAAATGTAGTTTTTGGTCACGGAAAAAAATAGCCTCTGTCATCCTTTCACAGACTTAGCTGTGAGTAAATACCTGGTTAATACTACAGAGACCTTCAAAACACCACAAACTAGTTTCTAGACACCGTAAGATATAGGCAGATGATAGATATTTGGATAAACAGAAAGAGATCAATGGTGATATAGTCCATCAGTTGGCCTAAGAGTGCCATTTTGAAGAGTTTGGCTGTAGCTATTCCTTACAAACAACAACCAACATTACTGAAGTGTCAGCAAATCAGCTCCTCTCCTTAACGAGAATGTTAATGTTTCAGTTCTTATTTAAGCTTTAGGGCATGAATGTTTGACATTTGGATCAGTCAGGATCCCAACAGAAAAGAAGTGGCATCAGAAAGCTAGGGTGTTTGGAGAAGAGTTTTCTTTGCAACGAGACTAATTAGAAGGTCACCCTGGCCAAGTGTAGGGGACAGACCTGGAGTCCAGCACAGCTGAGCTTGTCCAACTGCTCTGCCTCAGCAGTGGCATTCTAGTTGTTAGCAGAAATGCTCACAGATCACTCACTCTTGCAGGTTCCAGACACAACTTGAAGTTGCCTTCCTTCGTCTATTCCCAGAGGATAAACTAATGACTGAGCAGCTGAAAAGCAGGACAAAGAAATAGTCTGTTGTAACTGCCTTCTTCCCATTGTACTTCTTTCCAAGGCCACCAGGGACTGTATTAAATCTGCTGGACACCTTGCTGTTATTGTCAGGAATCTCTGAGCTGCAAGTGACAGAAATCCAGCCAAGACTGCCTTATGAAACATGCAGCATTTGGATCACACAGCTGAAGAGCATTGGCGTACAGCTCTCCCTAGTTCCTGTAAAAGTGGTGCACTTGTGCCTCATGGCTGGGGGACACGTAGTTCTTGTGAACACTCAGATGATTTTCTGATGGTATATACCTGGATCATGATCAAAGCCTGGAACGAACAGGTGGCCTTAACTCAACCTAGAGCATGTGAGCTCAGAGTAGAGGAAACTTGGATCCTGCTAGGCAAAGGTAAAGTGCCTTTGTTAGAATAAAGATAATAGATTCAAGCCCAAGATTGCTAGTCATAGTGAGATTGTGTCTCAGAAATGAACAGACCTGAAGAGATGGCTCAGTGGTTAAAGTACAATTTCTGCTCTTACAGAGGACCTAGTTCTCAGCACTCACGACCCTTTGGAACTCCAGTTCCAGGGGGATCCAATGCCGTCTTCTGGCCTCTGTGTTGTACATGCAGGCAAACATTCACGCACATGAAATAAAACTAAACAAATCTTAAAAGAACGAGCAGAAACCGGTTATTGTTTCTATACTATCTGACTTGTCAGAAATAGTTTCTTCCAGTGACCCCCTTTCTGAAATGCTCTCTTCTTTTCTTCTTTGACATTATTAATTTTTAACTGCCCCCGGGCTGTTTCCACGACCACTGTCTTGCAGGCTGTATCATTCACAGTCCACTGTACACTGGATTAGATCACTCAGCCCTAGCTTTCCCGGCTCACCAGTGTACACTCATCTTTAGCAAACCACCCGTGCCTCACATTGCTCCAGCCTGGAGAAGTCTGGATTGAAACTACAATGACTTTGTCTTAGCTCACCAGTTCTAGCCTCTGTCACTCCTGGGGGCAAAGGCCTAACTTCAGCAAAACTGATGTGAAACCTATCGTGGGAGATGCAGTAGGTAGAGGGTCCCGTTTGACCGCATAGCATCAGGAAAGCTTGAGCTTCCCGTGCAGCTACTTAAAGGGCTCAATATAGTGACCTGGATATATGGAGTGTTAATACTCTAAGACACAGGAAAGACAAAGGGGGAAAAAACCCAAACAGCTTAAAAACTGCTTGCTTTTTCTTACCCCACAAAACAAACAAAGCATAGCAGCATCATATGGCTCTTCTGTGAGTAAGCACTTGCCTGCATCACTCTGCAAGGCTGGGTTCATACCCAGAGTGTGAGTCTTCGTTTTGCGTTAGGCAATTGTACCACCAAAGAAATTCAAGCGGCTCCTTCTGACACCCTGAGGTGAGGTCTACTTAGGTTTGTTTTCTGCTCACCAGACCCTGTAGAGTGTGAAGATGCACCGTATGGGTGTCGGTTTCTGCTTTACTTCCTCTGAATGTTGTATTATTGTATATGAAATTAATTTCTAGCCCTCAGTATGGTAGAAAATGCCATAGACCTTGCTCTAGGACTTAGAACAGCTTCATTTTCCAGACGTGAGAGAATTCCAAATGAAATGATACAATTATGATCTGTCAGGCTTCCTATCAACCCGCCCCACGTCATCTCTCTAGGTAGTTCCCCATAGGTCTGGGAGACTCCTCTATTACAGCAGCCTGTCCCATCTCTCCCACTTTAAATGGAGAGTTCTTGAAAGGTACAGACTATACTTTGCCTTTCTCTGTGGCCTGGGGCCTAACACAGTGCCAGGCTCATTGATGAAAAGCAATGGACATATGCTCCATCAGATCACTATTAAAAGGCTTCTCTAAGAGATTCTTTGCTACATGATTCTTCTCTGGATGTTATATTAATCTATTCAGTGAGAACATCTTCAAAACATATTTTTAATGTAATTATTTTTTGACAATTTTATGTATGCATATAATGTATTTTGATCATTTTCAGCCTTATAATCTTCTCTTGTCCCCCTCCCACTGAACCTCTCCTTCCCTAGCCACCCTCTTACTTCCATGTCTGTGTGAGTGTGTGTGTGTGTGTGTGTGTGTGTGTGTGTACTCACTGAGTTTATTTAGGGTTGTTTAAATGAGCTTGGATAGATTTCTGAGTTTTTATTTTTTAATATTTTTTATTATTTTTATTTTATATG